TGGCACGACGCTCATAGCGCCTACCAAAGCTGCTTTATAGGTTGCCACGACGAGGTCGAGCACGCTTCTATACGCTTGCCGAGCCTTCCTTTCCATCCCATTAGGCAGCCTGGGAACGGCGGCGGTCAGAGGCAAAGCCTAAGAGGGGTGGTGGAACCACATGTCACGGCTACTACCGGCTCGACCCCACGATAGCCTCCGAAGGCTGACTTTGCGGCACCATCATCGGACGATGTCGACGAGTTGGGCCGCTCTCGCGGTAGTCAGATGACCTCCCATGCTAGTATCATCGGCTAGGGCCGCAGGAAGCGCGGGGGAGGGCGCTGGGAGCTACACGGAGCTCCGTTGGACGTTTTCAAGATTAGCGTGTCAGAGTGAAATGGAACTAGCCTATACTAACCCTAAGTCGGCCCTTCCTCGTGGTCGGCTTCGAAGGCCCAATAGCCCTAGCCGGAGCTAAAGGCCCCGACTTTTTCGGCGCTAACCCTAGGGGAAATCGCTCCGGAATAGGGTTCCCGGCACGCGGCACCATCGTCGGCATCGCGCACGATCGGGCGCGGCGCCACATCGCACATGGATGGAGGGAGTCGGGTTTGCCATCACGCCAGTCGCCACTACCGCACTCTAGGTAGGAAACCTCAGTGATTGTTTTATTTTGTTTCTCGATTACCGGCGAGAGAAGCCCCATCGCCGACGCCTCCGCGCCCGCTCCCCGCCGCTGCGACGCACGAGGAGCTCTCTAACGACTCTGGTAGTGGCCTTGCACTTTGAATGCCGTGGGGCTCCTGTCGTCAGACGTGGAGACGCGAGGGTTGCCCCCCCTTGCCCCACCACCTCGTGTGTGTGGAGAAGTTTACCTTACCTTACCTTACCTAGTGGTACTCACTCACGCAGCGCGCAGAGGCCAGCGTCGTCGCGGGCGTCGGTGGCAGCTGTCCGTAGCGAGCGTAGCTCAGCCACCGCTCCCGCCCAAGCAAGCGCAGCGCGGGGCGGGTGGCGGCGCCGATGGCCGCCGTCGGCAGGAGGAGCAGGCCGGTCGCGATGTCGCGTAGACGGGGCCGCACGTGGCGGTGGAGGAGGAAGCAGATGGCGCGGAGGGGCGAGAGGAGGCGCTGCAAGCCGAGCAGGTAGAGCAGGACGAGGAGGAGGCCGTGCGCCTCCGCCACGGCGGCCAGGAAACCCGACGGCGCGGCGGCCGAGATGGCCTCGAGGCGCGCGATGTAGGCGGGCGACAACCCTGCCTCGTGCGCGCCGGCGACAACAATGCTCAAGTATCTCTGCGATGGCGGGACATCGTGGCTGAGGCGCCGGCTCTGCGCAGCCCGCAGCGTGATGGCCCTAACCGGCTCGCTGCCACTCCACGGCTTTGCGAGCACGACAATCTCATCGTAGTCGGGTCTCGAACCGCCGCCGCCCTCGGAGCGCCACAACTCCTCGTATGCGCTGGGGGTGAGGGTGTGGAGCACGCCCTCGCAAACCGTCTCGGCCGGGGCGGGCTCGATCGAGGCAAATGAAGGCTCCAGCGGCGGGTTCAACGCAAACGTGAAGGCGAGCCGCCATCCCGCCACGTTCGCCCGCTCCGTCGAGATTATTGAGGCTGCGCCGCGCGACAGCACCTTTTGACGGCCCAAGTTCGACCCGTACGCAAAATACCGCACCGACCCATCGGGCGCGAGCACCGTGGAGGGCAGAGCGCGAGGCTCAAGGGGCGGCCGCTTCTCTC